CAGATGATGGTGATGCTGGTCTATGCAGAAACGTCACTCTGAGAACCAGTGTCTAGAGCTCCAAGAAAGGACACCTAATTCAGATTACATGTAGAGGAGTAACCCGAAGGACTTCTCAAAGGAATTTGGGATGAGGTGAATTGTGAAGAATGAGAAGGTAGTAAGGAGAAAAGGTAGCGAAGTTATGGCACTCCAAATACAGAGAACAACAGGGGAGCAGTAATGTGTAGGAAGGAACAAAGGCATGAAACAGCATTCCTTCAAGTTATCTGTTGAATGTTTATGCAAAGCATTGTTCTAGTTGCCGTGTATGGAGAGATAAAGGAAACAAAACCTCTGCTCTCATGGAACTTTTACACAAATATGCCATATATGGCAAAGAATAGGACTAGAATAGGCCATTGTGAGAGAGAACATGGGGGCCTCTGAAGAGGTAGCATTTAGACATCTTAAAAATCAGCTGAGACTGTTGAGAGATGCTGGTGAAAATAACCAGGAAACCACGAACCTCCAGCCCAGCTGTCAAACCACCACCCACCAATACCAAAGAGGTAAGGAAGAGAAAGACCCTGTCTCAACCTAAAAGCACTATCATGGTTTCTAAGAAAATCTCTAAAGGAAAAGGGGCCTCCTCCAGGGGAGTTGCAGAAAAAAAGCCTCTACCAAAAAGCACTATAAAAGTTCCCAAGACAACCCTGAAAGGAAAAGGAGCCCTCCGGGGGAGTTCGGAAAAAAAGCCTCTACAAATAAAGACTGCTGCTTCAAGAAAACTTAAGGGAGCAGGTCACCCTATCTAGCCACTGTGACCAGCCGAATGAGGAACTCAATCAAAATGAGTCACAGGAGGACCCAAAGAGTGAGAACCTCCACCATCTCCAGCATCTCCCTGAGAAACCAGTAATTTTGGGGCAAGGCCAGAGTCCTCGGATCTGAAAAGTCTCCAGAGGTCTAACTCCAGATAAATAGCCAACAGGGTCTAGAGTACATCTAACACGCAGCAGGGTATGCCCCATGGTGATGAAAATAAGACTGATACAATGGACTCTGGTGACTTGGGGGAAAGGGCGGGAGAGAGGTGAGATAAAAGACTACATATTAAATGCAGTGTGCACTTCTTAGGTAACGGGTGCACCAAAATCTCAGAAATCGGCACTAAAGAACTCATCCATGTAACCAAACACTACCTGTTCCCCAAAAACCTACTGAAATACATTTAATAGATTAAAAAAAAATACAAGTGGAAATGTTTAACAGACAGTTGATTACAAGAGCTCAGAAACAAATCATGGGCAGGTGACACTAAGCTGAGAATCATTTGAATAAAAGTAACTGGGAGTGGACTAGGACATCCATGTATATAGAGAAGAGCCTGGATTATACCATTTCAAAGGGTAAACAGAAAAGGAGGCTGATTAACGAGCAGCTAAAGAGAAGAAAAATGAGGAAAAGGTAGTGGCCAAGAATCCAGTGGAGGGGGTTTTAAAATGAAGTGGACAACAATTTCAAATACTAAAGAGAAGTCAAATAAAAATGAGGTGTCCACTGGGTCTAGCAATGTGGAGTTCACTGACTTCAGGAGGGGAACTTTCAGTGAAATAAGGGTAGAATCCAGATTACATCTGGCTGAGGAGTGAAAGCTAAATAAAGAGAAAAAATGGGGCTTGGCTACAAAGTAGAAAAAGAGAACAGGAAAGAGAGACAGGTTCAAGGGAAAATATACAGGACAGAGTTAAGCTCTCCTATTCAGTACAGAGCTTGAAATTATATGCTAAATAAGAAAGAGGAGATACTGAAGATAAAGGGCTGATAGAACAAGGTCTCTAAGGAGTTACAATGGATAGGATTCACTGATTTGCTCATTCACCTGTATTTTCATAGTATTGACCAGAGGACAGATACCTCTTCTGGGACAGACAAGGATGATACAGGTAACTAAGGAGGAAGCTTAGAAGCTCTCCTGTTAGCTTCAATTTACCCGTTAGGAGGTCAGGCCTCTGCTGAGGCAGCAGAGGTGACAGACCAAGTATTTGACAAGAGGTAAAAATCTGAAATAGTGTTTAAGAATGGAAGAAGTTGCTGGAGCACCATGGCTGCTAACCTGCAAGGGCCTGCCTCCACTTGAGTCAATCTGTGGTGCTACCAACCAAAGGTATATACTCAGTAGTATGCAGCAGCCCATGAAAGCAAAAAAGTCAGATGGCCAACCTGATGCAGGGATAAGGTTCTGCAGAGCCAGGGTGACAGGTCACAGAGTCTATGCTAAATGGGGAAGTGGTAAAGCCAGAGTAAACTGACAAATAGGAGGAAAGTAACTTTCCAAAGAGACAGGCTTTCTAAACTTGAAGTCTATACTTTTATATATTAATGCAATTTTTTTTTACATTAGAAAAAAAAAAAAAAAAAAAAAGATGGTTAAGGAAGTGGAGGTTTCTTGAGGTCAAAGAGTAAGTATACTTAGAGGAAGAGATTAAAGGACAAGACATTAAAATCACAGTACACATATTTCAGAAACTAAATTTCTGATGAGTCCAAAGTGTAGCCTTACAATTGGTTTGCAAAATGGAGTGAAAATGACTAGTGGAGATGGAGGTCCTGAAATTGTTAAGGCCAGCCATGACCAATGAAATTGTCAGAATGATGGTAGCACTGGGGAAAGAGATGCCCATCAACTATCAAAGTCCCCTCCATGAACGAAGAGGAGTGACCAGAGATGATAGTGAGGAGGACAGATGGTGCAGCTGAACAGCAGAAGCCTCAAAGTCGAGTAACAATAGTATAGCAATGGCAGTCAAGAATAAAGGGGCAACAGACCCTGTAATCCATCTATTTACTCACAGTAAAGTGAGAAAGAAATGAACTCTCCACTTGAAATAGTCCTAAGGTAAGTATGGCTGAGGGAGGGTAAATTTCCAGTTAATGAAAAAGCAGAAAAGCGTATTTACCAAGGAATAGGGAATGAAAATCTCTATAATGCAAAGAACTGGCAAGGACGGCAGCAATGGTAAAATGAATTGAGGAAAGCAGGTAACAACTGGAGAGGCCTGATGACTAGATGGGCTTCTATTTCAGCTGGCAGCAATGCATTACAGGGGTGAGAAGCAAAGTGAATCAAATTAGTCTCTCAATGTTTCAGCTGAACTCTGGAATGAGATGTTTCTATGACAAAACAAGTCCTGGGCAGTGACCAAGATGAGATGAGTTTGAATTGTTATTCAAGGTTCCAAAGAGAACAAGAGTGATAGGCTATTTTGTGTCTCAATGAAGTTTAGCCCCGCTTAGAGAGGATGGTAGGGCTAGGCCAGAAAGACTAAAGTGGCCAGTGCCCAGGTGGCCTACTGGTCTCAACAGAGCAGCATTATTTGCAGAGAGACGAAGCCCATAGATGACTGGGGCCAGGTACCCATTCAGAACAGGAACAGGTAGGCTATGTTTGTCAAAATGTGTCTGACACTCTCACCTTAACCTTCATGGAGTTAGGCACTGAATGGAATAGAGATGCAGATACGCCTAAGTCAAAATGCTTGACAAATGCTGCAAAATTCCGACCCTAGCAGAGGGAAGACTACAGGTAAGCTCCAATACATGATAGTGACCAAAACTTAGATTTTTCTAACAGATAGTACACTGTATGTTGCCTCCTCAGGGGTGCCGAATCAATTTTTCTCCCATTGAATGGGGATGTGGACTATATAACCTCTAGTATTGTCTTTAAATTCTATAACTTTTTAAAGAAGAAACATCCTTAGAAATCATCTATGTGCTTACCCTGTTGAGGGGAGGGGCTATAACTTAAGTTTCTTTGTGACTAACCTGCATATGGTAGGAAACCAAGGTCCATAATAGCTAAGCAACATAAGGGGCCAAACAGAGAGCTAAAACGCAGATTATTTGATTCCTAAATCCAGTGTTCTTTACATTATGTAATTCTAGGGTTCTCATCTGGGCTTTTGAAAATCTTTTTTAAAACTAAAGAACATTTTGATTTCATCCTATGTCCCTGACAACTTCAAAAGGGTTCCTTAATATAAGATTCACCAGCTGGGGCCACTGAGCCATTTCCAAAACTTCTTGTGGTGCCTTTCTTTCCCCCACTGACAAGATACACAACCTAGCTCCAGAGATAAGGATAGGGAAAAGCTTCACCTAATAAAGAAATTTCACAGAACTTTACTAGATGGAAATATCAAATCAAGTGTTTCTTCCTACCAAAGTAGAGTAGAAATACACTTTAAAGAACAAACAAGTGAAAAAGGGTGAAGAGAGTCAAATTCCACAATCACCGTAGTTTATTCATATAATATAGTATTTGATTGCATTCTTTTGTACTGTTCTCTACTTTTATAATGTGTAAAATGTTTCATCCATATTCCAACTAATGGTTAAGCTTTAAATGAAAGTATTCTGAATCTTCCATTTATTGTTATCAACCACAATGTCGAGATCCCCCAGAAACACTTGATTTAAACTGGGAGGGTCCTACACATTGTTTTTTTTAATGGACTTGCCACCTTAAGAAACTTCAGGTGTCTCTTTTTGTTGGCAAGAAAATTATTTTCCCAGGGATAATCAGATTTCCCCCACTACCCCTGCTCTTTCAACCAACCCTCCTCCTAACATACACAGTTACATATTTCATCAAACTGTTTGAGACCAAGATCACTGCAAGCAGAGTCTTAACATTTTCAGAAATGATCTGTCCTTCATACCTGCATAAGCTGGGATCCTTGGCAATGGGGAAAAGGTGCCATTTGCTTCTATGAAGTAACTTGGGGTCTGTGAGCTTTAAGAAGCCAAAGAGAAAAGGAAAGCATTTCCTTGTTTTCCCTATCAATGGTTTGTTGCAAAGAGATAAATTTCTCAAGAACCAAAGGTGAGGAAATGTGTTGGTCATCACAGGATTCTTGCTGGAAACAGACCAGGTGAAATCTTCAGGAATCACTTCACACTCCAAAAACCCTATTCTCAGCAATGATAATAGGCTAATCACACCACTGAGCAAATTATTTCAGCTCAGTTCTTTATTTTATAGAGAGCAAATGAAATTAGAAGCTGCCTTGGCACAGGTTAAAGGTGGCCCCCATATACTCACTAGTTTTCCTCAGGATTATCAACACTCATTATCAAAATGTCCTTTTACTTAGTTACCATTTAAAATTGCCACCAATGTAAATGACAGGGGGTAGGGGTTAGGGTGGGGAACCTGAGCATACACAAAATGTTTTAAATCTCTTAGATGTAATTAACCATATCTAATGTTCTTTCAGAAAACAAAAGAAACACAAAACATGGTCAAAGATCAAGAAATCAGGTTATATTTTTTGGAAGGCACCACCAATTACCCTGATAAATTGTAAATAAATATGTAAGGGAATAATCAATGGGGAATCTTGAGGTTTACAAGACATTGCTGTTTAGACCACTTGGAGTACTGCAAAAGAAAGAACAAGCAAGATACAGCTTTAATAACCCATCATATCCTTGCCCAGTGCACATCATTTGTTGCATAGTGGTGACTGGCTATGATCCAGGCCAAGAGAATACAAAAATTCAAAAAATACATTAACATCCATTCTTTCTCTCTCACACTACAGTATGAGATACCACCTGGCACATTCATATCCAAAGAAGTAATGATATGCTTTAATTGAAAAGAAAAAAAAAAGGAAGAATTTCAAATTGAGCAGTTAAGGACCTACTTACTGTAAAAGCAACCTTCTACACACATATGAAGCTAATTCACATGTGAAACTTTATTGAACCTGGTTATATGTGGGACTTCAACAGCTCAATTTTTCCACAATTTACACTTTTCAAATCCCACTCCAAATTGTCACTTTCTCCCTTAAAAAGTGGCTAATGCCATCCTTTGAGAGGTTTTCTCAGTTTTTTTCATCCTCCTACTGTAAGCACTGGCTGATATTCACACAAATGTACTACAGAATTAAAATACAGAAAAGCAAGGAGTTTCTTTACATGCACTGAATTGCATCCAGAATCCAAAAATGAAGAAACACAAAAGAACAGAGATTTTTTTGGACACCTGCTAAGGACAATAGTAGAGAAGAACAGTGGTAAAGCACAAGTAAAATCATGCTAATCTTATAGGTCTGTCAGCCTTTGTTTTTTTTTGAGAGAGAGAGAGAGAGAGAGACACTGACTTGCTGTTGCCCAGGATGGACTCAAACTCCCAGGTTCCAGAGGTCTTCCCACTTCAGCCTCCTGACTACAGGTGCACTCCACTGCACCTGGCTGCCATGTTTTTTTATTATTAAAGTACACTGTGGGCAATCAAAGGTTTAATGTTTGCCTTTTCAATTATTCAAAGTATGACATGCAGTAATTTATAATTTTACTGAGGCACAAATTTGAATCATGCAGGCAAAGCTCGTGTGCAGCAGCTTAGTGAGGAAGTCCTGCATCTACACGTCAACATAGCTTTGTTGCAGTACCTATCAGGAAGCAAAATAAACATCTGTGGGAGGAAAATGTCCTGTCTTCTCCCCCAACTGGAAAGCTAACTACTAGTGCTATACTTGTACTTCTAAACTCAGGGATCTGCATAGTTCTAATGACTTAGCCTTTAAGAATATCGAAGGCCTACCATTTTTCCATTTTTCTTTCTGTAACCTTTGCCAAGATAATTTATAATGAAGGTAGTGAGAAATACCTTTGAAATAATTAAACATAGAAGGTAAAATACTAACGGTGAACAATTGCAACTCCGGTTGCACCTTAGAGGAGATAGGAAGGGTAGAAAGACATTTTAAATCATGTCTTAATACAAAATATTACAATACAGAAGAACGGAGCAAGTTGTAAATAAGTAATTTCCTCTAAATGAAAATAATGCTATATATTAGAACACCAACATTTCTTTAAATAGACGAATCTCTTTTTCGTTAATTCCAAAACTGGAATTTTTTGTTTTGCCATTAATTTCTCCCTTCTGTTCTTCTCAGCCTTGGTCTAAACCTGTCAAGTCAGACCAAATCCTCCATGACTTTCAAGTAAATACAGAAAATCCCACAGTATCAACGAAAAGATATATTTAAGTTTCGAAATGTCAGAAAGTAACAGGAAGTTATTCATACTTTCTCAGCACCCTCATAACTCTCCACCGATGGTGGAATACTTAATGGAAGACTTGGAAGGAAAAATAAAAATTTTAAATTGTATTCCAGGCATCCATCACTTAAAATTACATTCAATTTTTAACCCCCAAGTATCTGAAGACTTTTACAAAGAAGACCAAAAGGCAAAAAATATTGTGCTTTCTTGTATAACATCAACCAGATGAAATTCTTAATTGATAATCTTTAGTTTGACAAAAGAAAAACTTACGAAATTGGTGAATTAGTAAACTTGCAATATTCACTGAAATCTTGGATCATACACACACTTGAGATGAGACCTCAAGATGCATGCACAGTAATACTAACAAGCCTCTGAACAAGTCAAACGTTATACAATATTAAGAAATGAATGACTAAAAAGTAGGTAGTATGAACCACAGAGAAAACATTTACAGAAATTGGATTTTATAAGAAAACATCTGCTTTTTTTTTTTGTCGTAAGATGCCTTTTGAGTTAAATCTCATACCCACTCAAACTGTAACTGGACAGTACATTTCACTTCTAGTTACTAGAAGACAGTTCTTTAAAAGAGACTGGGGCAAAAAGGGAAGAGACTATAAGCTGTTGCTAGGTCCACCCCAATCCCCCCTTAAAAGGAAAACAGATGAATTTAAGTAAAACCACAGATTTTTAAACCAAAATAAAGATACCAGACAATGAAGACAAAACACTATTTTTAGTTTTTTTTTTTTTTTTTTTTCCTTTAAAAAAATTAGTCCCCTTCTAATAAGAGTTTACATACAGCTTACCTAATACCTTAAGAAGAACAGAGAACATAACAGGAGGGAAGAGGACACAGCACCATAGTTTCAAACATTCACACACAAAAGAAAAACAGCCAGCACAGACTAGAGTGAGACCAAGTTTCCCAGCAGACAGGGACAAGTCCCAACACACAAAGGAAATACAATTATCTATTTGAACAAAAGCAAAATGGAAGATCTGGTCAGGCTGGGATGGAGGAGGGAGTGCTAATTCCTTGTACTACAAGGAAGGAATGGGATTTTTTTTTTTTTTTTTTTTTTTAAAGCAAAAAAGAAAAAGCAAGCCCCCAAATGGATTTTTGATGTTGAAACTCTGTCATATGCTGCTGGTAACAGTAAATATATATATTTATATATTCATATATGTATATTAAAAAAGGAAAAATAATCTATTCATAGAACAGTCAGTAGTCAGAGACATTTAGAAAAAAGTAAAAACAAGTCCTTTTTTTTCTTTTTAAAAATGGATTTACTAAAACAACTTCATCACCCAGAGGTACTACAACCCCCATCCTCTGATGAAGCCATGGTGTTATTCAACAGCATCTGCTGTGGGCCATAGTTAGAAATTGCCAGTGTTGGAAACAGCAGACATTGGGGTCAGGGCTGCAAGGCAAAAAGCTGTTATTTGCTGGTCTTGCTCATGGCCATGCCTGAAGCCTGGTGTCTGGAATACTTGTGAATGAAGTTTTCCCCAAAAAGCATGCATCACTGTAGCTCAGTAAGATAGTAAGACTCGTCATCGTCGTCGTCGTTTCTTTTTTGGCAGAAGCCTGGATCCATGTACCTGCTCTTTCCTAAAATGTAGACCCAAGACAGCAAGATTTTTCAAAGCCAAAAAAAGGCTCCTTGCCTTGTAGTAGGTTCTTCTCCCCAGAATCCAATCTAAGCAGATTTCTGAACTAGATGACATCCTCATCCTTACAAAGATAAGGTGACCTGCCCCAGATGGTAAGAGGTTCTCCTATTTGGGGTGTTCTTCTAGCACAAACAAGCACAAATATCTGATGTCAATAGACTGATATCATTCCTTGATGTCTAACAGAAATAACTTTGGCCCTGTTACTACTAGTTGTATCTTTAGGGCATTAAGTACCAGGTAATAATGGAAAACCCTCTCCAACTATCCCAATGAAGGAGATCCAAGCAATAAGCACCTTCAGGTGGTGCTGCTCCTAAGTTGTAAGCCTCTAAGTAATATCAACTGGACATAAGCCACATCCTACATGCCCTGTTAGCATACCAATGTATTAATACCAACCAGCCACCCTAGAGCTCTATCAAGCATCTGGCCTTAATGCAATAAACCACACTCAAAGGAAACATGAGTTGAAATATTGGCTGCTGTACCAAAGAAGACACCCTCTGCAAAGATATGTTGATGGAGAATGTAACCCACAGAGTCCATGCAAAGAGGAAGCCGGCACTAAGAGGACTTTCTCTGAAGGCCATTCATCTTTGGAAGCAACATTTCAAGTGGATATAAACCACTCTACTTGATGACTAAGGTCCCAATGTGGTCCATTTCCCCCCATGTCCCAAACTAACCAAACATCTGCTAACTGGTCTCTTTAAGATCCTCCATTGGTAGTTTGTAGCTCATTATGAAGGAAGGAGGTGTTGCTTGACCTGGGCTATCTGGCCCCTGCTTCTTTGCACAGTTTATACAGATGTAATCTTCATTTTCAGCCATTTCTGGAGATACACCCACACAAACTTGATGAAACCACTCATCACAGCCACCATCACATTGTACCCAGTCTACCTGTAGGAAACAAGATTGGGGAATGTTTAGGTTACACAAACATTAAGCCTAGAATAAAAGCAAACCAAAGAGCTTTCTTGGCTTAAATGATAGCAAACAACTGGGATGTCTAGAGACAGGCAATGACTTCTTATGGGGTTATTTTTTAAAGAAAGAAGCTGAGAAGTTAATACCCCAAAATTATATTTTACCATAGTGTGTCCACAAAATTAGGCCTCTCAGGTACTCCGTTACCTCATGAATACCTGGGGTTCCTTGTGAGGCAGAAACATGTTTGAGAAAAATTTGACAAAAAGGGTACTTCTAATAGAGCAGCCAAGTAGTTTTAGCTAATATTAACAATTTCTAGGCTCTAAGACAATGCAATTAATTATCAATCAAGAAAGGAAGAGTACAACAATGTGAAGGCAATCCTGTGTATTAGCTTTATTTCAAAGAGATAAGCCAAAGTACTAAGAACATTAAATACCTTTTTAGAAAAGCAGTCACATAGGCCACTTTTAAAACTAATATTTTTTATTCTTCTCTTCTTCCGTTACAAATACAACTCCCTATAAAAAGTTAGCAAATATCAGATGTCAAATCTTACAAATTAACCAATTATAACAGTCAAAGACACAGGTCAATAGATCACTCTGGGGTTTAAAATTAAAATCTGGAAAATTGATAGGTCAGTGGCAGGTGCCAAGCAAACTCTGACCCTTCTGATGATAGTATGGTTACAGGAGGCTAGGGAGGGACTGTAGTTTGGTGACTTTAAGCCTTGGACTTAGAGTTAACAATAAAGTGACTTTTGCCTTTTATATTTGAAGGCTGGTTGTGGTAGTTTTTACAGCTAATGTGATGGCAAATGAGAACATTTAAGATGAAAAGAGCTACTCTCCCTCACCTCAATACAAAGGTTGATCTTTTCATTGGCATAAGAAGCCACTTAAAACCATGAGCTTTACCAGGTATCAAAGTAAGGAGTAGAAAGGGATCAAAGAACCTCAATACAACTTATGAGAAAGAACAGAGGAAGGAGGTTTTGGCTAGGTAAATGAGTTTCATTCCTAGAAAGTGAGTGGTTTTCAAAATTAGTTTCCATGTCCTATTAAAAAATTGTCAAAACCACAGTAGTCATGTCAGTAGTTTTAGGCTTATAAGAGGTGGGAAAAATAATTTATCAAAATAATATTTTACTTTAATTGTTCCTATTCTAAAGTTCTAGCTCTTAAGAGACAATCTTGTTTAACATAAAGATTACTCAACTCAGAAGTTCTGAGTTCCAGTATGTATAATTTCAGGCAAGTCATTTAACCTCATTGAGTGGTTCAATTTCCTTATCTGAAAAACGGAGATGACATTAATTACGAGATTACTGAGCGGATCCAATGAAATAATGTATAGCAAAACAACTAGTTCACTGCCTAGGATATTGGAGGCACTTTCCAGTCATGGTCTCATGGCCCTACTCATTATCCTACACTATACAAAACATTTTACACCTTGTTGTAACTCTGCAGCACTGCTTTTCAAAGTGTGTAGACCACTGGCATCAGAATCATCTATTATGTTTGTTAAAAATGTAGCTGGGACCCATCATCCTATGAACTCAGAATATCTGGGGAGTACAAGCCAGAAGTTTACATTTTTTATCAGCTCCCAAGTGATTTTCTCATATATTTTAAATTTGATTACTGCTGGTAAATTCAGAGCAACTTAATACCTTCCTAAACTGATTTCTGTTTTTGTTCTGTAATTGTTTGTTTAGCTTCTGAAGTCTGTGCAATTAATAAAAAATAAAAAAATAAAACCTCATCAAAATGTTCCGATGGTAGCAAACTAATCAGAGACTACAAGAAAGGGAAATAATGGTGGCATCTGCACAAAATGTAAAAATTAAAGTACTGCAAGCAGGTGAAGACTTACGAAATGCTAGCTGTAGAGCAGGTGCACTCAGAATGAGTGTTTTGGCTGTCTGGGACTGGTAAAGGGAACTGGAAGGATAAATTGTGGTTCTCTGTGCTGCCCAGGTTTGAGATACTATGCTGTTTATAATGGTATCCCTGAACCAACAGCTAACTTTTACCCTTACCTCCAACCCTCTTAATCCAGTCTAGTCCCCATTCATGCTGACCCATTGGATAAGAAAGTTATCGGTGTATCAGTATTTGCTACAAAAAAAAAAGTGTCCTATGTCTCTTTAAATCTAATTTCTGCACTATACTCACTGGCTTACAATTTCCCAAAATTCTCTTGCAAATAAGACAATACTTTCCCTTTCGTGGTTTTTGACTAGAGGTCCCCTCCTAAGCCTAGGTCTTCTACCATTTCAAAAGAGTATACAACGTTCCTTGAGTTACTGGTACACAAATTCTAACCCAGACTACAGGTTATGTAACAATTTAGCCTGATAATATGACGAGCAAAAAATAGTCCTTCTCTTACCAATATCTTTTTATCATGTTCAACTACTAACAATCAAGAGTAGTAGTTCTACTTTTGTGTGAAAAGCCCACAGGATTATAAAGCAAACTAAAGTCTGGGATGTCAACTGACTCCAAAGATGATTTTGACACAGTGGCAACATACTACGTAGTATCCCGAAAACTCAAGAACATAGAATTTGGATAACTGTATGAATTGTCATCTCCCGTTTCATTATTTCTAGGAGGCATGTTTAGTGAATCCAAAAAAATAATTCTTAAACTTCACAGCTATGAGCTGTTCAAATACTGAATAAGAAATTTTATATTATAGTACGTGTTTAGTGAATCAAAAAAAAATAATTCTTAAACTTCACAGCTATGAGCTGTTCAAACATTGAATGGTAAGAGATTTTACATTATAGTACAAATAGGTTACTATGTTCAGATCTGGGGTAAATGTCTGCTTTAAAGAGGAATACATTAAAGAGAGAAAATAATAATTTAATATTCATGTTTTGCTGTATGGTTTCATATTTACACTTAAGAAAAAAATACTTGGTATAGTATATTTTGGTCATTTCTTAGAGAATAGTGCTGCACTGGGAAAAAAGAAAATCTGGTAATTTAGTGATGTTCTTAGCTTAGTAACTGAGTTTTTATTATTTTGGCATTTAATATCTTTTGCACCAAGTTTCCTTGCAAAAACCAGATTTGAAAAAGGAAAACAATTCACTTAGTGAACTACAACATAAGTTCAGAATCCTTGTGTATATTTTCTTGGTGCCCTCAATATTCAGTGACCAACCCTCCCAATTTGCCAAGGAATGAAAGAATTCTCAGTATGTGGGGATTTCAGTGCTAAAACTGGAAAAGTGCCAGGGAAACTGGGACAGTTGGTTACTCTAGCTCAAAATCACGTATGTGTGTGTGTGCCTGTGTGTGTGTTAGTTACACACATTTAGGTAACTTAACCTTTGATTATCTATGCTAAAAGGAGATATGAACTAGTACAACCACTGAAAATGCAAATACCTTGACTGAGGCAACACCCCCATGAAAATCTTTTAAAATCAGAGTGGTTAATAAATAAATTCAGTCTTTTAATTTACCACACCAAACTTATTACAGAAGTAAGAATGGGTAAGAAAAAGGCCGACAATAAGAGGGTAAAAAAAGTGAAGGGAAAAAGAAGACTATTTTCATAAGTAAAATTATTAAATATTTATTCTAACACAGAAGAAAAATGTTTCTTAAATTATTAGCCTGAAAGAATTTGGTCTTTTTCCAGTTAACTTGTTTTATCTTTGGTACCAGTAAGACTAAGAGTTCAAAGAGAAAAAGATTCTGAACTTTAAAATTAATTTTTAAAAAATAGTTCATTATTATTCATTTCAGCTTGACAATTTAATAATCAGAGGAAGAATTTTTTCAAAATCTTTTACGTTATTCTGGTATTGTCTTTCCTTTTTTAAAACATCTTGAAATTGAGGCTAGGCACATTTAACTAGCCGCCTTTAATCCTTCTTTTCATTTTTAAAAGACATTTCTCAAATTAGCTGGGCATGGTGGCATGTGCCTGGAGTCCCAGCTATTCAGGAGGCTAAGGGAGGAGGACTGCTGGAGCACAGGAGATCAAGGATGCAGCAAGCTATGATCACACCACTGTACTCCAGCCTGGGCAACAGAATAAGACCCTGTCTCCAAAAAAAAAAAAAAGTATTTCTCAATCTGCACATTTTTGGGGAAAAGTAACAGTAATTATTGGTTAAAGAAATAATAGTCATTACTGGTGAGAGAATTCACCTAAAAACAAGTGAACCCTAGAAGTTATTTTTTGCTGCATGGTATTTTAAAGAACAAACTGCTCTTGAAAGCATCAATTTTTTTTTAACATCATCTTGCCAATCTTTTTCTTTTTGAGACAGGGTCTCCCTGCATAGCCCAGGCTGGAGTGCAGTGGTGCAAACACAGGCACAATCATAGCACATTAACTACAGCCTTGAACTCCTGGACTCAAGCAATCCTCCTGTTTCAACCTTCTGAATAGCTGGGACTACAGGCATGTGCCACTGCACCTGGCAAAAGCATTCTTTTCTTATTTTGTTCCATAAATGTGTGCTGTACATTAGTTTTCTTAGAGAAACACTAAACACTGAGAAAGTTTTAACATTCTTTACAGAAGCTTTTATAGAAATATAACTTTTATTTAGTAAAATCAGTGTCAGGAACAAACATATAGAACCTTAAAAACTGCAAAAACAGGAAAAATATCTATAATCTGAAATAACTTCTGCTTAAAACGAAACACATTATAGAAACATAACACTGTTGCACTGGCATGGATGTCCAAAAGTGTAAAAAAAAAAAAAAAAGAAATATAACACTGTTTTAGGTAAACTAACAACATAGGGTAGGGTACACATTGCTCACCTTTATGTATTTTAACAGTTCAAAATAGACATTTTCTCTGAGCACTCAGCCAAATCTCCTTTTGCTCCATCAAAATGTAGATGGTAACTCTAGATTTTGTTTAAAAAAATACCTATAGTATATTAGGAGCAAATCTCCTGGTTCTTCCAAAAATAATGATCACATCTTAGCACTTAAACGTTGCGTTTTTGGTTAATAAGTGCTTTCACAGAGATTGTTTCATCTTATGATCATAACTCTGACTGAGCAGGGCACCTGTTACTTTGACAATTTCATAGCAAATAAAAAAAAAAAACAGCCATAGTGTTTACACTGCTCTAAGAAGATAATAGGAATAATGGATGAACTGAATCATATTTAAACGCTGAGCGAAGGGAGGGGAAAGATTAAGTGATAAGGAGAAAAAGAGTACAAAAATAAAAGACTTATGATAAATACAAACATTATAGAAAGAATGACAGGAATGTTTAAAAAAGAAACATCCTATCTTGCTGCTAGTCTTGAAACTACCATAAAATTAAAGGAGAAAGGAAAGGGAGACGGTTCTGCCAATACTGAACTGCTAACACTTTGGTACCCAAAGAGAAAGTTAACTCTGCATCAGCCTCTTTAATAAACAAATTAAAATGAAAATAAATTCAAAATTAAAGATAAAAATAATATTCACATTATTATGTACTAAAATGCTTTAAAATGTTTATAATATAGGACAATACTTATAAAATGAATAAATGCAAGTCAATAAACAGTCTGACAATCATATAAAACAAACCCCATAAAAAATTTGAAAGGAAACACTAAAATATTTATAGCTGTCTGCCTTGGAAGATTAAACTACAGGATATATATTTTACTATACGTAGTATTCATTTTCCAAAAATAAATAGAATACCTCTAATATATCTCATTTATTTAAATATGTATAATTTAGTCTGGAATGTGTTTTTGTACTTACATCTCAATTATCAATGGGGTAGAGTGTTAGTGGAGAGAATCTGATCTGAGAGCCAGGGATCCAGGGTTCTACTTTTGGTTTTGCTATTTATTAGCTCTGTAACTTTGGTCACACAATTGATCTTCCCTGAGTCCTTGTTGCATCATTTGTAAAATGAGCAGCCTGAACAAGGTGACCTCTTGGTCTCTTCGAGCTCTAGAAATGCTTAAGTATTTCACTGAAGAAATAAGTGAGGGCATAACCCATAGGGAATAGTGATGCAGTTTTATGTACTGTTTATATTTTCAAACTGAGACACTATTTGAATTCTAAATATCAAGTAGTGTAACGAGCATAATAAAATTAAAACTACAGATGTATCAATATTCTTGACAAGAACCATCACAGGTGCCTCCAACCATTTAAACAACTGGAATTTTTCACAAAGTCTGATTATTTCTCAGAAGTTCATATTGTCAACATTATATCTAAAGAATGGCCATCACAGAATTACTATCCTTAAAATTTAGGGTTGAAATTTTTAAAATAAAATTTGTTTTATTTATTTATAGGTTTGAATTATTTCTTTTAAAATATTTGAAGAAAATCATATTCCTTTCAGGAGAGTGCTCATAGGTCTCAATATGAGTAAGATATGGACCAAAGGTTTCAAGTCTTTGGAATACACTCTTAATGCAATTTGCCGCAGCTCTTCCAATACCGGCCCAGGATTTTTTCAGGCCACTGTGGCTAACTGACAAGGTATTTAGTTCCCTGAGTCACCTTACAGGGAAGGCACAAGACTATTCTGAAACCTGTTCTGCCCTCTGCATATGAAATGCACTGTTTGCCAAGGATTGGCACATAGCTTCTCTCTGCTCCTGTCTCATTATGTTCACTAAGTATATGATTTTAAAAATACAACACCTCTACTAGGCACACTAAGGGCCTCATTATTCGAAACAGTTTATAGAAATTGTATAAAAGATATTATGTTGAAAGTCCAAATCCTAGAAATCAAAAACATACTTAACGCTGGTATCAAACATGTATCTCCACAGCTGTTGTTCCTTGACCCCTCACACTTGACTATAAACAGCAGGAACTCACCTTGTCCTTGCAGGGCCTTTGGCAGTTTTGTGCTGCACATACAGCATTCTCATCATCAGACTCCTCTGCTCCTGACCAGTCATACTTTGAGGGGATGTCCAGCACTTTTTTCTCTCTTTTCTTCTCAGTGCTCTCTTTCACAAGTTCAACTTTGGCTGCAGCAGCCTTCTCCTTCTTTTTCTTTCTTTCTTCTTCTTTTGCTAGTTTCTTGGCCAGTTTATTCAGCTCCTTTGATTTGTCTGAACTTAATTTTAATTTCTTCTTTTTAGGTTTGTCCATTTTCTTTAACTCCTTGGACTTCTGCTTTCCTTCTCCAAAAAGTTGCTCTACCTTTTCTAGCTTCCGCTTCCGTTTCTTCTCTGAAGAATCCTTTCCTTTCACTTTCAGTGGTTTCTCTTCCATGCTGTCATCCTTCAAAAATATAAAATTAGGAACAACTTTAAAGCAAGACAGTTAAAAAACAGTGTTACTCTCTTTTATGAGACACCTAGAATACACATTGAGAGAGACAGATAACCTCGAACAGAGGTTATCAGAGGCTGAAGGGAAGAAGAAATGGAGGTTTGTTAAGTGGGTATAGTTTCTGTTGGGGATAACTGAAAAATTCTGGAAAAGAAGAGTGGTGACAGTTGTTCCAACTGAATTGTCTACCTAAAAAGGACTAAAATGGTAAATTGTATGTTATGGATATTATGCTACAATAAAAAAAGATTTATGGGCCGGGCGCGGTGGTTCACGCCTATAATCCCACCACTTTGGGAGGCTGAGGTGGTTGGATCACTTGAAGTCAGGAGTTTGAGACCAGCCTGGCCAACATGATGAAACCCTATCTCTACTAAACAAAAATTAGCTGGGTGTGGTGGCACATGCCTGTAGACCTAGTTACTTGGAAGGCTGAGGCAGGAGAACGGCTTGATCACAGGAGGCAGCAGTTGCAGTGAGCCAAGATCAAGCCATTTGCACTCCAGCCCGGGCAAGAGATGAGAGACTCTGTCTCAAAAAAAAAAAAAGATTTATGTTATTCTAAAGATATTTAAAAGACATTTTAAGAAGGCAAGTACACTATTCAATGAAGATAACAGTGGAAAATAATGACAAGTCTGAAATGAAATATTTAACTTATTTTCAGCTTAGTAGGAGAAAAAGGGCACAAAAAATTTCAGTGTTAACATATTAACACAGTCTGTAGCATCTCTGTTAGAGATGAAAACATACACAAAAAGCTAACTGTACTAAATTTTGTAGTAACTTTCAGGGTCTTCAGTTTATTACTAGTAAAGTATTAACCCAATTAATGAAAGTATTGGTGGTTATTTTTTGAAGTCAGAAAAACATAAAGCTGTATCCACGATCTCATTACAAAGAATATATAATGACTTTGCTGAGGGCCAGAAAACAGCTCATGCGACCAAGCCCAAAAAAAAAAAAAAAAATTGTCATTTTTGTTTTTAGCGTTTTAACATTGCTGCTAGTATGTGCCAACGTAATAAACATTTAAAATTTTCATATAAAAGTGTATCTAGTAACAGAAAGAATGGGAGGAGGCATCAGAGAAAGAATTACTGAAGAAACATAACATAAACTTAGTAAATTCCTTAAGAAAAAACATTTGAGAATTCATTTTGCTGTAGATTTGAGACTTGAAAATCTAAGAATCAGCAGAATCCAAAAGACTGGATTATAAGTGCTTTAACTCTATTACATCTTGAACAAGATATTTAACATCTTAATACTCTGTGCTTCCTTATCTGTAAAGAGGATTGCGTAAGATAATGAATGAGAAGAAAATGCTTTGCAGACTGGAAAACACTATCTAAATTAGGCTACCTAGATCTGACTTCCAAAACAAAAACAAACTATAGTATGCTAAATGTATCTGTCTCTACTATTGGTGATATGGTACCATTCCATTACATGGAAACAAGGAAACTAATAAAAGAATACTGGGAGTCAAATGGCAAAGTTAGAATCCAGGTCTCTATTTTTACTGGAGGTGTGACCTTAATTTTCTACCTCTCATACTTACTTTCTTCATATGCAGAATGGGTAAAATACTTGCTCTGTCTCTCCCTCCCCTACCTATCCCTCTTCAAGACAGTGGTGAGGACCAAATGGATATGGTATCATCATCGCATCAAATGAGCTCATGGAACTGCTATGTAAGTGTGTTATATGAATGTGGACTTTCTCTCCCACCCAGTCTACTTCTGTTTAACCATCCCTGTGCTTCTTTTTTATAGCCACTATATATTCTCCCCTAATTTTGGGCCCTCCAATAATGGGAGTCTGGGCTAAGGAGGTTGTTCTAAACTGGATGGTTATCAATCATGCCGTTTCCCGTCCCCTTCTTTTAAGCAGAAATGGCCTTTTTTCAACTTAGATACTACATAAAAGCTCAATAAAGAAAACCATAAGTCAGATCTCTGGTGTTTAACAACAAAAAAGACAGAAAGAAACAAAGAAAGACAGAGAGAGAAAGGGAAGAGGAAAGGGAAGGAAAGGAAACAGGAAGATAGCACAATTTCTTAGGCTGAAGTGGGAAAGTAAGCCAGCCAGATTACTGCTGTCAGCCATCCCTTTGCTAACATTTATGATACTGATACCTCTGAGAAACCCAGGCATTCTAGTTTTAAAATGACTGTTTAAATAAGCATAAAATCCATACCTCCATGATATGTAAGAATCTGTCTTCGGAGGGTGGGTGTGTGGCCTGCAAAATCCGCCATATGTGTTGAGTCTCATCCAGAGATACTTCCAGGAGATCTCCAACCATCATAAGTTCTTCCAGTTGGGCCTTAGCTCCAGGTGACAACTCCAGCACTGGAGGTTCCAAACTTCGGGGCACCAAAGGGCTCTTCCGAGGTTGTTTCCTTGGGGTGCTGGAACCTTTTCCAAAAAAATACCATAAAACAAAAAAAAAAAAAAAAAAAAATCAAACTAAGGAAAAACATGCTTTCAAAGTAAATACTTAAAATAGCCCCCATTCCCCAATACTAACTTCAGATATATGGATTCATTGTATCAGTATAAAAATGTAAACAGAATTAGAAACAAATACGGACCAAAAGGATGAACAATTCCAGGCCCTACTCTTAAAAAATGGTTTAGGGTTATTAATAAAAAGCAGTTCTTTCAGCTGGGTGCAGTGGCTGTCACACCTGTAATTCCAGCACTTTGGGAGACCAAGGTGGATGGATCACCTGAGATCAGGAGTTCGAAACCAGCCTGACCAACACAGTGAAACTCCATCTCTACTAAAAATACAAAAATTAGCAGAGCATGGTGGGGCATGCCTGTAATCCCCCCTGCTCGGGAGACTGAGGCCGGAGAATTGCTTCAACCCAGGAGGGGGAGGATGCAATGAGCCGAGATCTCACCATTGCACTCCATCCAGCCTGGGCAACGAGAGAAAATCCATCTCAAAAAAAAAAAAAAAACAAAACAATGGTTCTTTATCCTGAATGTTAATCTCTATTGAGTCTTTACCATGTGGCAAGAGGAGTAGGGAACCAGAATCTCTCCATTTTAGAGTATACCAAAAGATTAAGCAATTAAAAAAGCATTTGGCTGCCATATATATATATATACATATATATATACACATATATATATATACATATATATATACACATATATATATATACATATATATATACATATATATATATATATCTCCTTCTAATCAACAGACAATAATACACCGTTCCATAAAATCCTGAATTTTATTATAAAGAGATAAACACCCTCCATCTTCCAGAGCTGCGACCTAAAGTAATGTGACTTGTTTTCGGTGAGGGAGAGAAAAATGAACATCATAGAGAAAATCACCCTCCAAGGAAAGGAAGAACTTTCTAACAATTAAAGTTATCCAAAACCAGAATAAATATTCTTAAAAAGCAGTAGTTACTCAACCCCTGATAATGACCAAATAGAAGGTAAAGGACTACCTACCCAGAATTTTCTAGAACTGAGGCCTGGGACTAGACAGCCCCTAAAGTTCTAATTAGGACTCTATAATTCCATGTACGTTTCAGGTTCTGAAGACAGAAAATGCAAATAGGAGACTGGCTTTTCCTAAGGAAAATAGCATTTTCAGGTTCCATTAGCATTTCATGGCCGAGAACTGTATTCCACTCAAAAGGGATTCACAGTCTTGATTAACATAACGTTTTTTCTCACCAGTTTTAGGTTTATCTTCCCCACAGTTTTTTAAAGGAGTAATACCTTGAGAACAACTCTTAGAAGCAGAAGAATAAGCATGCTCTGCACAAAATGAAGGTGCTGTCCACATGTGAGTCACCACCTCCTCAGATTTGATGGGAATTTCTTCATCACAAAAAAGATTGGGTTCAAGACTACTAGAGGACTTCACACTAGCTGTGTCCTGAAGAAGAAACAAAGAGAAGTATTCAGAATTAGAGTCATTTAACTTATTTTACAAGTCCCAAAATGGAGGCTTGTTTCAAGTTAAAGCTTCTAATATACTAAATATGAGATTAAAATTAAATATCTTATGTTAAATAAGATAGAAAATGTCAACTGGGGAGAAAAACGGTAATTGTGGCAGGCCAGGTCTCCATTAGTAACCAAAGAAGTTTCCACTAACACATTACCATAATTTTGATGAATGTGCAAGTTAAACAGGAATGACTGCAAAAATGTGACAACAAACCCATTAAGCTATCACCTGGGTTTTCTGAGACTCTAAAGCCTGATAAAATTATGAAGGCATTCTTACACACACCTTGTACCAGGGCCCACTTAAGATTAAGAAATTTTTCCAAGTCTCTAGAGAAAGCTTTCCAGAGCCTGGACCCTACCCAAAGATGCGATACAGTTTGAATGAGACACTCTAGCTTGTAGGTGCACTCCCACACATAGGCACAGAGTTTAGAATGAATACAAGCTTTGAAAAAGACTTGTAACTTTGCATTGGTTTGGTGAGTTACTCCATAACCAGCTGTAGAAATAAATTCCCTTCTTTCTCAGTCAGTCTGCATCTCCTTACTGGACTGCGAGAACAAGCAGCTGGACCTCGACCTGTCCAGGAATATAATGACCACAGATTCAGGCCAAAAGAGAGTGTTAAGGTCAAAAACAACCCATAAAGATAATAAACCTACAAAAAAAATTACTATTAAGTAATTTACCTTCTATAGTCTACAACCTGAAAAACTCCTATACCAACAAGTTAAGGAGTGGAAGATAAATTTAGATGTGGCAGCTTAAGGACACAAACCATTCACTCCTCTCTAAGGGTTTTCAAACCTAGAATCTTGCCAATTGCTCTTACTTAATACAAGTATATGTCTGACTGACAATATACAGATTATAATAAGTCTTCCTGTAATGCCATCAGTAGATTCTTGGAAGCTGACTTTAAGCAAAAGGAAGCACAGCAGCAGGTCCTTGAATAAAGCAGGTCCTTGTTTTCATTTCAATGTAACAATGATGGGGGTAAAAATAATTTCAGCGTGCAGATCAGCTCCGTGCTGCTTGTTAATCTCATTGTTTCTCACTTAAAGTCTTTGGAATGTTAAGTGAACTCTGATTAGGTCTCAGATGATTCTCCTTGAAGTTAGTTTCCCACAACCTCACCCACACAGACACAATCCCAAAAAATCAAGGACAGACTTTGCTTCATTAAATATCTACCTCGTAAGTAATAATTTTCTGGATGATAACTAAGGTAAAACGGCTGATTTTAGCTTACTAATTAATTACCTACTCCTCCTCCTAAACCAAGAGGGGGCTCTTCCTCAAGCAAAATATACTAAGTTCAAAGTATTTTAAGTATGAATTTATGGTCAAAACAGAGGGCATCACACAAAGGAAAACACCACCAAGCCAAATGCAAATAAACTGGCAAATAAAATTTTCATTATACAATAATTGCTTGTTCTATGGGAAAATGCTCAAGAGGATAGGTTTTTTTGTTGTTTTTTTTTTTTTTTTCATTCAAAGACATCAACATCAAAGTAAATTTTCAGGGGTACAGCTCAGTGGTAGAGCATTTGACTGCAAAGTAAATCTGACCTTGAATTACTGTTAAGTCTTTACACCATTCTTCTCTTCTCAGCTGTCAAATACATTGTTAACACTAGATAATCCATAATCTTATTTTTCTACCCTGCCAACACCTACTACCAAAGAGAAGGTAAGCTAAGATTCTCATATAAATTCTGCCAAAAAAAGACTACTCCATACAACCATATAAAACTACAGTTGTGATCCCTAGCCCTGAAAATCATGGAATACTCGTGATGTTTTCATAGGTTCCAAGTCTTTTTTTCGAGCAAAGCCCATCATGTTAAGCAATTCTACAGGAGTGGTTGATACTTACTGTGCTAGAAAGTAACCACCAAAAATATCAAAGGCCTCTAACTAGGGTAAATGGGTGATTCTAGTATTCAAGCAAAACGCTAATTATGCTTGGCATGGGTTGCATTCCTTTTCAGCTGCTCCTAGTTATCCTATATACAACTTTGTAAACAAAGACGGTCATTAACTTCTGGATAACAAGGTGCTTAAGAAGATTATTTGAATAGGCTAATTCACGGTGCAACTGTTCTCAAGTCTTGGATCCATTTTTATCTTGAGAAAAAGTATTTTCCTACAGAAGAATCTACAAGCGTCTATGATGGATGCTTTTCATTTTACATCCCAGGAGTTTTAATGCTGATGAAATTAATGAGCACTACCCAGCTGATCTGCAACCTGAAGAGACAAAAGATAGTGACAGGGTAGGGAAAGGATCTCCCCTTGTTATTTGGAGGCAGCATTTTATATCAGAGTAGGAGGAATTCTCAGGTCACAAGCATAGATTCTAAACAAAGCAACTAAGAATTATATAAAACAAATCAATGGATTGACTGTAAATCTGGCATGGTCTCTGCCTAGATCACGTTATTACTAGGTTAAAAAGCAAAGGACCTGCCCCTGACACAAAGTGATAACAAAAGGCCAACTGGATCCAACACAAAACAAACTCGTCAAAACCTTCTCTTCACCACCAGTGAGGTGTCATTATCAAAATAATCACACTGATAGTAAATAGTTTGTTGTATCTGCAACTGGAACTCAGCAAATTCTAACCTGGGCCCAAGTATTATATTACCCATCTCTGAATATGACATTCTGTCTAGCACCATCCAGACAACAAAGCAGAGCAAAAGACTCATAGTCTAGCTAGAATGGAATTTTTTTTTTTTTTTTTTTGACACAAGGTCTTGTTCTGCTGCCCAGGCTGGTGCAACCACGGCTCACTGCAGCCTCAGCCTCCTACGCTCAAAGCAATCCTCCCACTTTAGCCTCCCAAGTAGCTGGGACTACAAGCACATGCTACCACACCCAATTAATTTTTGTATTTTTTATAGAGATGGGGGTCTCACTATGTTGCCCAGGCTGGTCTCAAACGATACTCCCACCTCAGTCTCCCCTAAAGTGTTGGGATTACAGGCATGAGTCTTCAGACCAAGCCTAGAATGGAATTCTTAAAATTTAACTGTATACAGACTTTAACAACTCAAAGAATAAAAAAAAACTGAAATTGACCATGAAGCTTTACATAACTTAATGCATTGTTTTTCTAGTTCCTCTATGCGATAAGGAGTTATGAGGAAAACAAATACAGATCTTTTTAAAATTCTATTTTCTAAAAATTGTTGTTTCAGGCCAGGTGCAGTGGCTCATGCCTGTAATCCCAGCATTTTGGGAAGCTAAGGTGGGCAAGATCACTTCAGGTCAGGAGTTCAAGACCAGCCTGGCCAACATGGTGAAACTCCATCTCTACTAAAAATAAAAAATTAGCCAGGCAGTGGTGGCACACACCTGTAATCCCAGCTACTTAGAAGGCTGAGGCACAAAAATTGCTTGAAGCCAGGAAGTGGAGGTTGTAGTGAGCGGAGATTGCGCCGCTACATTCCAGCCTGGGTGACAGAGACTCCATTTCAAAAAAAAAAAAAAAAAAGTTTCAGCAACCTGTATTTTTTTGAGTTTTGAAAAAAATGCTATGACTATAAACTCAAAACAAATAGATGTCTAGTTTTCTCTTTCACTTTCAGGCCTCAAACATTGCCATTCAATAGTTTTTTTTTTTTTAAACAAACCCAGTGATCCAGTATGTACCCACACAGCCTGTCCATGTAATTACCTTCATGTCATAGCCATATGTCTCTCGAATGTCTTCATCAGAATCTGTTTCTTCGTCGTCATAGTCCATTGTTTGTCGAGGAGAAGATGACACACTGCTTACCACGCGGTTAAAAGCAGACTGCTGGAAACTAGGTAAGTGTCCCTAAACAACAGATAATTCCAAGATGAACAGCATGACATGTTTATAATTATGTAATTAAGGGTAATTAAGGTGTGCTTAAGTTCACCAAAATGTAGTGAATAAGCAAAGTGGCTAACAGAGTTCTTCAACAGTTAGTAGAAATCAAATTATTTGATTATGATGCCAAAGTCCACCTGGATGATAGTCCCAGAAATATTTCACTAAGTATGTATCCCAAAAAACGTGCTATGGTGTATGCTGAAGGAGAATGCAACGGATAATATAATTGCTGACAAGTTACTGTTATTTTCCTAATCAAATAAGACAGATTCGATTTACTGTTTACACACTGACATATTATCCCATGAAATAGAAAAAGAATGTAAATCCTAAACTTGCCTGTAAGTCTGGATTGGCAGCTGCTTTTTGGAGTTCTGCACTGATGATCTTTTCAGTTTTTTCTCGAGCTGCCTGTTCCACCATACGCTGGCTCAACACAGACAGTTTGGCCAGAGCAGAGGATAGTTCATCTGTGGCTAGAGCCTGCCGTGCTCTATCTTGCCAACTCATAGCACGTTCTGTCAAACACTGTAGGGCCTCTCCTTCAGGCAACCGTACAGGCAACTTCTGAAGGGATACCAGGAGTGACAGAATAGTCTCTAGCCTGGGCCTTCGAGACCGCATACAAAGAGGGCAAAGGAATTTTACTTCTTTAGCTTGCCAGCTGGATCCTTTTTTTTGGGAACTTGATTTAGGGAGAGGAACACAGCTGTTATGGAACCAGTCTTTGCAGAGCTCACACTGTAGCATAAACCCACTGGCTGTCTTACGGCAAATGCAAAATTTTACTTCTTCTATGCGGTCCACCATGGTCATCTTGGCTAGGTTGACTGCTCTGAGGGAATGCATGGCTTCAATCTCTTTTTGCTCCCGTTCTTTAAAAACTGCCACCTGTACAAGACAAACATTTAATTAAAAAGAGTCACTGCAATATACCCCCAAAATACCAAATCCTCAAGGCTGTGGGATCTTTCTCCAAGTTATCAGTTATAAACAGTTTCCTAAAATGTGGGGCCCCTAGCAGTTTCCATGCAAACATTGCTCAGCTGTGAAATGGGCAAAGTGCTGTCATATTTGATCATGTACATCAGTACAGTACTTTGGCCTCTTCTGTAGGGTGCAGTAGAAAGATAGGATGCCTTGAAATCAAGCAACCTGGGCACAAAGCCTGGCTCTTGTACTTTTAGACTGTTAATATGGGAAACAAGTTTCAGAAACTCTGTTTTCTGAAAAATAAGGATACTACCAACCGTATTTTGCTGTTTTACGGATTAAATAAGATAACATATGAAAGTGCCTAACCTGATACCTTGTACAAGGTAAACACTCAATAAAGTATTAGTTTCCCATCCCCTCATAATTCATTCCCTGGGGCAAGTCCTATACAAATTAATTTATTTCTCTATAGAAGTCCTCTTCATGTGTGAGTAGAATAGCGAAACCTGATGGTCAACTACAACAATAGAGTTTTATGAAACTCATTTTAACAAAGTAAATAAAGGCAAACAAATTTAATCAATTATCAATACTGTCAGTACATTTTTTTCTTAAGCTCCTAACAGCTTTGAAACAATTTTGAAATAATGTCCAGTCCCACTTGTCTAGCAAGACTGACTTGTTAGGCAGGCTCTCTAATCAGAGATCATTTTCACTGGCTTCAAAATAAGATCATTTGCATGCAGAAAGAGCTATATCATATGCAATTCCCTACTTTTATGTATTGTCCAGATTAATACTTATTCTCTCTCTACTTTCTCAGGCTCCTAGTAATCTTAACACATTCCTCCTATCCTCCAAAAAAGTGTAATTCTCACCAACTACAGATATTTTAATACTCATTAAGAGAAGGAAATCAGTAACCTTGTATAATTCCTTTGAAAGGCACAACAGTAGTTAGAGTCACAAAATGTTTATATTAAATTCTAACCCAGTAATTATATTCCTAAGAGTCAAGTCTAGGAAATTTAAAAGAAGGAAAAGGTGGTCAGGTGCAGTGGCTCACGCCTGTAATCTCAGCACTTTGGGAGGCCGAGGCGAGTGGATCACAAGGTCAGGAGTTGAAGATAAGTCTGGCCAATATGGTGAAACATCGTCTCTATTAAAAATACAAAAAAAATAACCAGGCATGATAGTGTACGCCTGTGGTTCCAGCTACTCCAGAGGCTGAGGCAGGAGAGTCGCTTGAACCTGGAAGGTGAAGGCTGCAGTGAGCCGAGATCGCACCACTGCACTCCAGCCTGGCAAACAGAGCGAGACTCTGTCTCAAAAAAAAAAAAAAGAAGGAAAAGGTTAAACAAAGAAGTTCATTTTATTACTTATAATAAGAAACTTAGTAACAGGCAAAATGCTCAAAATTAGAAAACTACAGCAGGTCCTCAAATAATATCTTTATGTTCAGTGTGATTTCATTATAACACTGATGAGAAAAAAAATCAATTCCTGGCCAATGCCACTGTCACTCACTAATTTACCAAAAATTGGATAATCATCTTATTTTTATTACTCTTTTTTAATGTATGTTTAGCTCAAATTTTTTCAATGTTTAATGTCAGAAGTGTTTGGGGTCTTTATTTAAAAGTCTGATGTTTTTGTGACCAGAAATAAGCTGCAGGAACTTAACTCTTGTATATCTCAATCTGTAGCAAAATTGGTTTCATTATACATTGCTTTGCTTAAAGTTGCAGTGCAAGAAGCTGTTGATTGAGGACTTACTGTACTCAGCTAACTACAGACAACAACTTGATGGAACAGTAGACAACAATTAAACAACAATAAAGAACAGAAGTATGGAAAAGACAATTTTGGGAAAAGAGCAGAATACTGAACTTTTTGTATACCTTAGTGATAAATATCTTTAATGTGAAATACATAAAAAATCATAAAGCCAAAGTATAAAAAAATAAAAAGCTAAAAACATAAAAACAGCGAGTCTGCTAATATCATTACAGAGTTTCATATTCACCAAGCAAACTCAAGACACTAAGTAATTTCTTACCACCATGGCTGTATCTCTTGTTTCCTCCAATCCTTCTTCCAGATCACTCAGAGGCTCCAGGTCCAGATCCTTTTCTTTTTCTTTTTCTATTAGTTCTTTCACTTTTTTCCTCCTATTTTTGCCACTCCCATATACGCCAATGTCAGTCCGGGGGCTCAGCACCTACAAAAATAAAACCAACATTATATACTCTGGTTTTTAAAAAAATCTTAAAAGTAAAAATAATAAAGGAACCATTTACTGACCATTCAACCGTGTCCCAGGCACTTTAAGAAATTTATACACATGTGATCTAATTCATTCCTCACAACAACCCCATGTAGTAGCTATTAGTATCTACATTTTATAAACAAGAAAAACTGATGATAAACAACAGAAACTGATGCTCTCAAAGGAAATAACTGCCCAAGAACACAGGGTTAGCAATTAAGGAGTCTGTTCTCAAACCTGGAAGGATCTTTATTCCAAAGCCTTTGCTCTTAACTACTATTTTAAACTGCTCAAGATGAAAGGAATCATGAATATATAAATTTGTGCTTTGGAGAATTAAGATCTTTCAACAATAGGCTGGACGTGGTGGCTCACACGTGTAAGCCACTCCCAGCACTTTGGGAGACTGAGGCAGGCAGATCACTTGAACCCAAAGGAGTTTGAGACCAGCCCGGGCAACATGGCGAAATCCCATCCCCACTAAAAATACAAAAAATTAGCCAGGCATGGTGGTGCACACTTGTAGTCCCAGACACTTGGGAGGGTGAGGTGGGAGGATCACTTGAGCCCAGAAGGCAGTGAGCCGAGACTGCAGTGAGCCGAGATTGCACTACTGCACTCCAGTCTGGGTGACAGGGCAAGACCCTGTCTCAAAAAACCAAAAGAAAAAAAAATTTAAAAAAAAACGGAAAGAAAAAAAAAGGTCTCGATAACTATAGAGTCCAATAACAATCCAAGGCCAACTGTTTTTTCTAGGGCCAGCACAAGATTAACTAGAAATGAATCTGCTCAAGGCTCCAGATTCAAGTCAACATCTGATATTACCTAATGAGAATCACTTGTATAATGGCAATCAAATAAACTGAAAATAACCCTCATCAATACTATTACTACTTAAATTATCAGCTGCTTATGAGAATGTTGAAGCTCATGTACCTGTAACAACGTATGGCTAGAATTCTTCTTAAGAAAGGTCCGCCCAGTCCGTTCTCTCCATGCTCGTGCCGCTGCTACCTGTGATTCCACTTGCGGCAGTGCTTCAAGACGCACAGGGATAGGGCGTCCTTTTGCAGACAAGCTCTCAAGCTGCTCCAAATAAGCATAGTTGCTGCCACTCTGAAAAACCAAAGTAAATTCTCACAATTTGAGTTCTCTTATGGGGTCTGGCAATATACTGTTGAAAGATCTTACAAAGTTTAGTGTTAGCTCTTTTATTAAATATCATTCTTTAAATGTAATTCCATCTCTTGAATAAATATAACTTCCAATGCCCTATTTTTCAGAGTTTGTCTAAATTCTTTTTTTAATCAACATGTCATCAATGATTTTATTTATTAATTAATGAGAGAAACAGTAGATATAAAAACCAGTTCAAAGGACAATCTAAAGCACAGACATATATAAATGCAGTTAGCAAGCCAGGTGTGGTGGCTCACACCTGTAATCCCAGGACTCTGGGAGGCTGAGGTGGGCAGATCACCTGAGGTCAGGAGATCAAGACAAGCCTGGCGAACACGGTGATATCCTATCTCTACTAAAAATACAAAAATTAGCTGGGTATAGTGGCACATGCCTGTAATCCCAGCTACTCAAGAGGCTGAGGCAGTAGAACTGCTTGAACTCAGGAGGCAGAGGTTACAGTGAGCCGAGATCATGTCACTGCACTCCAGCCTGAGCAACTGAGCAAGACTGTGTCTCAGAGATAGATAAATAGATAGATAGATAGATAGATAGACAGACAGATAAACACACAGGAATAAGAAAATACATTTATTAATAGATAGAAATAAGTGTTTAATATCATATAGGAAAATTGAATCTTTTTCTACAATGTGTAAATTATACAAATTTAATTGCCTTTCTATGAACATAATTTATTTGCATTGCTATCTTTTTCTTTTTAAACAACTGGGTAGAGTTGTAAAATAGGCTGGCCAAAGAAAATCTGAGGCACACATCCCTAGAATCAGATAATCCTGGAGAGTTTACTAGACAACATCCAATATTCCACTGAAAGGATACTTAATCTTTTTGCCAATTTCAAAGTCTTTCACAATTTTTCCAACTAAAAGCAATATTTCAGTTCTGGTAACCACCTCCATTTTATCTCATATAAACAGAAATAAGAATAAATATTTTCCTTCCAAGTTCACAGTGTTTTAATTTTCCATGTAATGAAATCATTATTATTTTATAGAATATCTACATTGTATTCCAGTGTAAGGATATTCCCAACATATTAACTGACACATTTGCCTATAAATTCATTTTGAAAGATAACTGAACCATGGCAAAAAATAAACATGCAAGAAGCTTATGAATTTTTGGTTGAGTGCAGTGGCTTATGCCTATAATCTCCTCTGGGAGGAGGCCAGGAGTCAAGACCAACCTGGCCAACATGGCAACAACTTGTCTCTACTAAGAATACAAAAATCACCTGGGCATAGTGGTGCACATCTGTAATCTCAGCTACTCGGGAGGCTGAGGCATGAGAACTGCTTGAACCCAGGCGGAAGAGGAGGAAGTTGCAGTGAGCTAAGATCTAACCTGGGCAACAGAGCAAGACTCTCACCAAAAAAGAAAAAAACTTATGCTTGTTTAAAGAGGGTAAGGAAGTGGCTCTAGTCCTATAAGATTTTAAAATGATATAATTAAGCTACTACAATACCAAGATAAAAACAGATAACTAAGTAGAATAGAAAATAAGCTCATATAAAGAAATATGACATTTACTATTATTCTTTCTTGTGGCCCATTATAGCCATTTGACTACAGAACACCTGGCTAAGCCTAGACATAGCCTGCTCCCAAGCCATGCAGCCTAAAGAAAAGTCTGCCAAACAACAAAACCTGGCCACTTACTTACAGCCTACAAGTCAGTATTCCCACTGAAGGGAAGTGCCTGGTAAAGAAACAGCCCTTTGAAATTACAGAGGAAACACATGATAGCTACCTATACTTGTTGACTTAGTCCTTCAATCATAAATAAAACCGCCAATTAAAGACTCTCAGACATTTGAAGACAGCAACTACTGCCTGAACCAGGTCAAAGACGCAACAAACACAGAAGCTGTCCTGATAAAGACAGAAATAATTTGGCCAGGTGTGGTGGTTCACACATGTAATTCCACCACTTTGGTAGGCTGAGGCAGGTGGATCACCTGAGGTCAGGAGTTTGCGACCCAGCCTGGTCAACAGAATGAAACCTCAACTTTACTAAAAATACAAAAAATTAGCCAGGCGTGGTGGTAGGTGCCTGTAATCCCAGCTGCTGGGGAGGCTGAGGCAGGAGAATCGCTTGAACTTGGAAGATGGAGGTTGCAATGAGCTGAGATCAAGCCACTGCACTCCAGCCCGGGCAACAAGACCAAAATTCCGTCTCAAAAAAAAAAAAAAAAAAAAAAAAAAAAACAAACAGAAGAGAAACACTGGCAGCTAGGCAGGTCCCAGAAAAAGTCAACTGAAAAGACAGTAAAAGAGAAGTCATTAGAATTTGACACCAACGCCAGGCGCGGTGGTTCACACCTGTAATCCCAACATTTTGGGAGGCTGAGGCAGGCGATCATTTGAGGTCAGGAGTTCAAGACCAGCCTGGCCAGCATGGTGAAACCCCATCTTTACTAAAATACAAAAATTAGCTGGGCTTGGTGGTGCACACTTGTCGTCTTAGGTACTTGGGAAGCTGAGGCAGAAGAATTGCTTGAACCCTGGAGGCAGAGGTTGCAGTGAGCTGAGATCACACCACTGCACTCCAGCCTGAGCGACAGAGCAATACTCCATCTCAAAAAAAAAAAAAAAAAAATTCAAGTACACTTTTATCTCTACCTAGCACTTACTTCATTCTGTTTTAAATTACACATGTGTAAAATATGTCTCTCCAACTAGAAAATATATATTTGGAAGACTCTAGTTTTATACCCTATTTTATGCCACAAGTCCTATTTTTATACGCTTCCCTTACATGCCTGCTCCCAAACACATAGAACAGTACCAAGAGTACTGTGGTGCTCAGTAAATGTTAATTTCATTTTCTTTTTCTGCCTCTTATTTTAAAAGTAATTCATGCACACAGAAAAAAAATTTGAAGAATACCGTAGGTAACAAATTCCCTACTGCTAAAGAGTTAAATAACTAATTCCATCATTTTTCATAGCAAGGAGTCAATAAAAACAAGTAATATTGGCCAGGCACAGTGGCTCACGCCTGTAATCACAACACTCTGGGAGGCCGAGATGGGCGGATCACAAGGTCAGGAAATCGAGACCATCCTGGCCAATATGGTGAAACCCGTCTCTACTGAAAATACAAAAATTAGCTGGGCGTGGTGGCATGTGCCTGTAACCCCAGCTACTTGAGGGCTCAGGCAGATGAATGCAGGAACCAGGGAGTGGGAGGCTGCAGTGAGCCGAGATTGTACCACTGCATTCCAGCCTGGCAACAGTGTGAGACTTTATCTCAAAAAAAAGCAAAACAACCAAAAAAAAAAAGTAATATTTAAGAAGGTAATAATTATTCTGATTTATAAAATCACATAGAAGAGTAAGTAAACTTCACTAGAATTATATGTGCTCCTCAACTTATAATGGAGTTATGTCCCCATCCTAAGTTGAAAATATCATAAGTTGAAAATGCATTTAATAAAACTAACATAACAAACATAGCTTAGCCTAACCTTAGCCTAGCCCACCTTAAAGGTGCTCAGAACACTTACATCAGCATGGCTGACTGGGAGCTGTGGCTCAATGCTGCTGCCCAGCATTGTGAGAGAGTGTCATATCACATATTGCTAGCCTGGCAAAAGATCAAAATTCAAAATTCAAAACACAGTTTCTACTAAATGTATATCACTTTCACACCATCATAAAGTAAAAAAAAAAAAAAATCACAAGTCAATCTACATTAGGGAACATTTGTATTATGATTATTCTATTCTAAAGAATTAAAAGTTTAGTAATCTATGAAACAGGCATTAGCTGATAGGTGGGATAATCCAAGAGCCTCCTTACCTGAATAGCTTCCACTTTAGCTGTCCATTCTCGAGCCTTTTGTAAGGCTTCTTTCAAGGACAACACATTGGGTAGAAAGGCTGGAATGTTCTTGGCTTCATTCACAATGCTTTCTAAACTTGCCACACTGTGCCGTGGTCTAAAAGAACAATAAAAACAGAGTGGGATGCATGAGAAATTAACATTTAAATAACATTTCAGAATGTGTAGAGAATTTCATATACATGACTTCCCTGAAATCTTACCACAATCCTACAAGAGAGGCAAAGCAGCTAGTATCTTTCTTTTCCATCTTATAGATAAGAAAACTTTATAGATATGAAAATGTATAAACATAAGTTTATAATAAAATAAAATATAAACATTTTACAGATAAGAAAACTTTAAATCAAAGAAGGTAAGTTATCTTCCCCTGCCAGTTAGTGTAATAAAGGACACATCTGAAATACTGATTCAGAATGAGGGTCAGATCCATGCTCCTTTTACTACAATAGACTGCCTCTACTTCTCTATAGTATCTGAAACTGTCAGAGAGCACATTTGATAGCAATGTAGAAAACAATACACTAGAAATCCATTAATGCTGACTACATATATTTACTTAACTACATTCATTAACACTAGTTACACAAAGATGAATTAAGCATAGACCTTATTCTCAATGAATCACAATAAAAGATAAGAATTATACTTCTACTGGGAACTAAAACCAAATAACTATAAACTCACTGTTATGGGAGGCAGTGATTAATTCTGCCCAGGAGAGAAAGGCTTTGAAGTAGGCCTTAAATTAGTATGATTCTGTCAAATGAAAAGTTAAATAAGTTAAAGAAACCAGGAATATAATTAACAAAGGCATGGAGACACACTTAAAAAGCAGTTCCTAGTTCAGTTTGCAATTAGAGGGTGATGTGGAGGATTGGAGGCAGGGGATGGGTGGACAAAGAGTGGGGCAGGAAAAAGGAATTTGGCAGGGAGAAAGATGCAGAGTCCTAAGAGCCATGGACTTCATTATGCAAAGCAATGAGAAGCTACTGAAGTGGGAATCATTCGTCATCCACAAATCCTACTATGTGTTAGGCACTGTTCTAGGTCCTGGAAATTGCTCATGAGCAAGAGTGATAGTCCCTGTCTCAAGAAACCTTTCATTTATTTATTTTTTGAGTCTTGCTGTCACCCAGGCTTAAGTGCAGTGACACAATCTCAGCTCACCGCAACCTCTGCCTCCTGGGTTCAAACAACTCTCATGTCTCAGCCCCGCTAGCAGCTGGGACTACAGGCATGCACCACCTTGCCCAGCCAATTTTTTGTATTTTTAGTAGAAATGTGGTTTTGCCATGTTGGCCAGGCTGGTCTCGAGCTCCTGGGCTCAAGCAATCCACCCTCTTCAACCTCCCAAAATGCTGTGATTACAGGGGTGAGCCACTGTGCCCAGCCTCAGGAAACTTTTTTAATCTTATGAAGATTAATAAAAAGTTTATGATGCACTGTGATTAGTGTAATGACAAAGGAAAGTAAAGGCGCTATTAGAATATATAGTAGGAGAGGTTGGGCATGGTGGCTCACGTCTGTAATCCCAGCACTTTGGGAGGCCAAGGTGGGTGGATCACAAGGTCAAGAGATCGAGACCATCCTGGTCAACATGGTGAAATCCCGTCCCTACTAAAACTACAAAAATTAGCCTGGCGTGGTGGCACCCGCCTGCAGTCCCAGCTACTCGGGAGGCTAAGGCGGAAGGATCACTTGAACCCAGGAGGTGGAGGTTGCAGTGAGCTAAGACTGAGCCACTGCGCTCCAGCCTAGCGACAGAGCAAGACTCCGTCTCAAAAAGGAAAAAAAAAAATTATATATTTATAATAGGAGAACCTAATTTACTTGGAGGGAAAGAAGACTTCCCAAATGTGACGTCTAAGCTTTCTCATCCTTTCTGAGTAAAGCTGGGGCCAGGGGGAGGGTAGGGTTGGTGGAGGTATACAGGGGATGGACTGAAATAAGAGTGTTCCACAGGAGAATATAATAAACATGCACAAAGATGCAGAGAAAGAACACAGACGTTTGAGGAACTGGGAGGAAAGATCACATTTTGAACATAGAATACAAAAAGAAGAATGGCAAGAGAGAAGACTAGATACATAATTAAGCAAGAGGCTAGATGACAGATAGCCTTACAAATCAGGTTAGGGAATTTGGACTTCATCCTGAGGGCAAGAGAAAACGAGAGAAGGCTTTAAGTAAGGGAGTCAAAGTTACACCTGTATTTTAACAAAATACTTGTGGTAGTATAGAAAATGAATCACAGAGGAGTAAGACTAGACAGAATCTGCTGCTGTGATCTAGGCTAGCTACGATGCAGCCTAAGCGGAATAAGAGAAAAAGAAGAAACAATCCTACAAGCAGTCCAAGTGAAAAGATTCTTTTCAAAACAGCAGAGAGCATAATATGTCCAAAGTACTAAGATAAAATAATCGTCAACCAGTAATTTTACACCTAATGCAAAAAGGTCCTTCAGGAATGCGGGTAAGGCCAGGTGTGGTGCTTCATGCTGTAATCCCAGGACTTTGGGAGGCCAATCACGAGGTCAGGAGTTCGAGACCAGCCTGGTCAACATGATGAAACCCTGTCTCTATTAAAAATACAAAAAATTAACTGGACATGGTGGCAAGCGCCTGTAATCCTCGCTACTTGGGAGGCTGAGGCAGGAAAAT